TATATTTAGCTATGCTACACACAATATTTCAGTTCCATGAGGAAAATGTCAATTGTGAAACTAAATTTAAAATTTCCATTGTTTTTCTATCAGCTCTTCCCACAGTTACTTCCAATTTAAAAAACATGAATACAGGACGCATTTAAATAAAATGTGCATCTTCTAGGCTTACTGGCATGGTTTTATTGCTTTAATTATTTGGAGCTTGTCAAAATACAGGCAGATGCACACAAGAAAAGAATCTATGCTCTGCATGTCACATTAGTAGTATTTCACTCTTAGCCAGTTAAGGTAAATGTTTACCTTGCTGGTGCAGGAAGAGATAGAAAGGGCTTAGAAACTGTAACCCTGCATTTTGTAGGATAGCTCCAGTGCTCACTATGCTGTCCCCAAGCCAGGAAGCTCACTTAAAGACAGAATTTCAAAGTAAAGTTAGTTACACAGAAGGAAGACTGTCCCAAACAGCGGGTCATGTGAATGTTGCCATAAACATATCACACACACACACACAGACACACACACAACACACACAGCTCTCACATGATTTATCAGTGATCTTTAGTAATTTTTCATTATTGAATTGTGCCTATGTTGACACTTCTATGGTCGATCTGTCAACCCAAAAGTTCTGCTCAGTGTTAAATTCTGTTTTAAACATAGAGGGCCTGTCTGTAACCTGGGCTTAGACACCCGTCTGCCACATACCAGAAACATTTTCAAATTTAAGATTGTTAATTTATTGATGACACTAACATATTTCTGTCTATTTTTCTAAGATTGAATATAAGCTACAGGAAGTATTGTTATGATTACCAGTGGTCAAGCTCTAATTGACATTAACCAGACTTTGGGTAGAAGAAAGAAAAACAGAGGAAGTGGGTATATATGCATGTGTATGTGTGTGTAGGGTGCTGAGTAGTGTTAGAGAGCTTTTATTTTAATCTGACTTTTAGTGAACATCAAAATATTCACATGAATGTAGGTGTATTTTTGTACATCTTCACTAAGCAACTTACAAATTGCAGTAAGCATATCTTGAGAAATTACAATAATGTAAGCTAATATTTGAGCATTTCCAATGTGTCAAATGTGGTTCTAAAACACTTGGATGTGGTAACTTGTTCAGTCATAATAACAGCTGAAATAGGAAGTATTGTAGCTTTCCTTGTTGAAGAAGTTGAGAAGCCAAGTAACTTGCTAAAGTTGCCATGTGCACGCAGTTAATAAGGGTTTAATTGAGCACAAGACATCACATTGTGATCTCCAAGCTCACTCTCTTGACTTCACTTTCTATTAGCAAGTGAAAAAGATGGTTTTATGTACCCCAAATTCCAGTTCAGTTGGTCGTGGGGACAAGTAGGGCATGGAATCTCTGAAAAAATTCACACAGATCCAACGTACATGAGATGCTCAATTTTCACAAGTCTGAGACCTCAAACTGGCTCCCCTCAGGGTACTTCCCCTGCTGGGTGCTTGGGGAGAAAGCAGCCCGTGTGGGTTCATAGGATAATCAGGGCCACTCTTGGGAGGTATTTGGATAAGTGAGGAGATGAAGTAACATTCCAGAAGGCCTAATTTCTTGAAAACTCAAAAGCAAACATTACTCTTAAGATTTAGTCTCTGTAATAGAAAGGTAAATGTGTGGTATAATGGCTAAGCAGAGACATCAGATAACTATATTAATAAAGAATTAGAGAAAATACGAGGTTACTATTGCTATAGACAAAAATGCAATTGTTAAATGTATGTAGTCTATCAGTGCCACTTTCACCTCAATGAACAAAACACAAGCAGTGGAATGTGTACAAAACCAGCTCAGAGAGGGTTCATTAATCAAGAATCAGGATTTTGGAGTTGACAGAGCCTTAGAAAGCGATTTCAACCTCTGGGTTTTACATAAAACAAAACTAAGGATGGTAGATTTGTTCTCCATGTTCAAGTGTTATCTCCAGTTCTGGGTGAGAGGAATCACCTGCAGGGAGAGTGTGTGGAGCAAGAAGACGACAGAGTCATAAGTAGAACCCTGGAAGACCCACCTTTTGGGAGGTGAGCAGATGAAGAGTAGCCCCCAAAGGCAGGTGCCTAGAAGCATGGGGAAGGAGCAAGAAAGCCAAGGGGGGAGATGTCATGGGAGCATGGGAAGGGAGAAATTTTAGGGAAAAATAAGTGGATGTTGGGACAGGCATAAGATGCCCCTTGAGATGCCCACATCCCACACTGGAGGTCCTGGGTTGGAGTCCCAGCTTTGTTCCTGATTCCAGCTTCCTCTGAATGCATACCATGGAGTCAGGCTTGATGGCTCAAGTACTTGGGTCTCTGGCACCTGTATGGGAGACCTGGATTGAGTTCCAGGCTCTCCTTGCTCAGCTCTAGCTGTTGCAGATATTTGCAGAGTGAACCAACAGTTTGAAAGATCTCTATCTACCTACCTACCTACCTATCTCTTTCAAATAAATAAATATTTTCAAAAATTGTAAGTTAAAAATAAGAGGGCCAGCGCTGTGGCAAAGCAGGTAAAGCCACCGACTACAGTGCTGGCATCCCATATGGGCACTGGTTCTGGTCCCAGCTGCTCCACTCTCGATCCAGCTCTCTGCTACAGCCTGGGAAAGCAATAGAAGATGGCCCAAGTCCTTGGGCCCCTGCACCCACATGGGGGTGGGAGCTCCTGGCTCCTGGCTTCAGATCAGTCTAGCTCTGCTGTTGTGGCCATTTGGGGAGGGAACCAGTAGATGGAGGACCTTTCTCTCTGTCTTTCCTCTCTCTGTCTGTAACTCCCCCTTTCAAATAAATAAATAAATCTTTTAAAAAGGTGGAACATATATGCATTATTTAAAAGCAATAAAAAATGAAGTGGATGTGTTGAACAGTAAAAAGAGATTTTAGAAAATCAGAACTGGCAAATATTCTTTAGATTTGTTGGCTATTGATCATCAGAGATCCAAGCAAAAGCAAGGTTTTATTGATGACAATGAAAGCTTGTCATGTTTCAGGCAATGAATGAGAGACCAAATTAAAAAGAGCAAACATTCAATAAGTTCAAAAAAACAGATGGACCAAGGAATGCCAAAGAAAAAAAAATGGAGAAATGAAAGGAAAAATTTAAAAGAGAATTGAGAATATGGAGCTCAAAGCTCAGACTCACGTTCCAGCACCCTTCCCCCTTTGGATACCAAATCTGAAGATGCTCAAGTCCCTTATATAACTAGGGATAGTACTTGCATAAACCTACAGTATCCCCCATACTTTACATCATCCCTAGATTACTTAAAATACATAATGCAATTTAAACGCTATATAAATAGTTATTATACAGTATTGTTTAGGGAATACTGGCAAGAAAAAATGCATACATGCTCCGTACAAATGCAGTATTTTGAATATTTTCAATCCACTGTCGGTTGACTGCATGGATTCCAGAGAGCTGACTGTACATACAGCTAAATGGTTCTCTTGGCTGAGTTTTAATTTTATGTTTCAGTTTTTAAGTCATGTGGTGCTTAAAAAATGATATAAGGCTCAAGAAAATTCCCCTTCCCTGCTACCTATGGTAAGTTTTGAATGAATAAGAAAGGACCAGCTCCAGTTCTAGCCCTTGGAGCACAAAGACCTGGGACAAGCTGTGGTTGGCAGCAAGAGTCTCTGCACACACTCACTTCCCTTCATTCTGCACTCCCTGCCACAGTTTCCTCATTCTGCAGGCCCTGCTGCCAGCTACAGAATTGAGCTTCTTAACACCATTAGGACACGCTGAGGGGATTAACAGGGAGGAGTACAGCTATCTTCAATCTTGGGAAGGCTGGCAGTGCCTTAGCCTTGCCAACTATCTATTTTTCTTGCTTGGTTTCTGTTGGAGGCAAGAGCAAACAACAAGTAGGAGACAAGTGTGGTGGCAGAAATGAGCACTCTTGAAAGAATTCAAAGGAAAAAACCAAACATGAGACTTAGAATAGGGAAGATTACTGTTGAAATTAACCCCGAGAGCAGGTTAGGAAAGACAGGTTGGTAATGTGTGTTTGCTTAAGATTAGATGGGTTACCTGTTGCATTGGATAGTCCGGTTTGTTTCCAAATGAGTCTCCTTAACAAACATGCATGCACTAGATTTCTGTTGAGAACCAAAAGTTTTGTGTGCAAAGAACACAGAGACAAAAGTTCTGTGTGCAAAAGTATCACCAGATTTTCTGAGAACCAAATGTTCTGTGTGAAAGTCAATTACAGTTCTTTCCTCTAACAGGAGACAAAGGCAATATTATGTGAAAAACCATGTTTTCCTGATGTTCGAACAACATCTACTTCATTAATGGCAGAATCTGAGCTATAATTGTGTTTTTCCCATTGGTGTTAGGTACATTTTCCACTTCCACCATAACATTAAAGGTCTACAAACATTTTGTCAGGTAGGCAATAAAAAAGTCTCAAAATTATGGATGTTAGCCAGAATTTACTCATTTAAATTCACCCCCAGAGACATTGGCAATGGTTGTCTTGTTTGAAGATGTGCACTTCTACATTTTGAAAAGTTTTCCCTGATTATAAAAAGTGTTGGGCAATAATGCAACTGTTTCTGGTAAATATCTATTCATTCAACAAGCATTTATGAAAAAAAATTAAAAAACAAGCATTTATGAAACAACAAACACATGCTTGATATTGGACTGTTTGCTGAAAATGTTGAAATGAAGGAGATATAAAGTTGGCCCATCAGAATCTCATATAGCAAGACAAGAGCACAAATATTTTTAAGTTTTGACAATCTGATTTATTTGGACTTAATATCCTCCCTCAGAACATTAGGACCTATGATGTCTCCATTGCCTTATGTATTATCAGCAAAACCTCTGTATCATAAATAAGCAGTGGGTTCTGTGAAATAGCAGTTGCAGATAAAGAAACTTCATTTAAAAGAGAATATGACAAAGGCCAACCATTTGCCTGACCAAACCCCATTAGGCAGTAACGAAAAGAAACACACACACTGCAGTCACAACACAGTCTTACCTGACTTGCCCACTCCTGCTCTGCCAAATAGTGCCAGTTTGACCTCTGCACTTTTAGCCATGATGGGTGTTGCTGGACAACTGACTTTTGTTCAACTAAAGAGCTGAGCAAATCTTTTGGGTTCCAGTCTTTGGGTTCACCATATCACTGTAAATGTTGGAAGAGACCACAATCCTTAAATAAAAGAGGTTCAGGAATTCATAAGTGACTAGAAAACAAATTAATTCATATTTATTAGGCATATGCCAGACACCATTCACTTTATTCACATTTTCTAATTTGATCATTACTTCTACCCTGTGAGAGAGCTGTAGCCATTTACTGTAACGATTCAACTAATATATGAGAGATCCAGGATTTGAACTCAGATCTGTGTTATTCTAGAATCTGGTATTTTCACTTATTACAGCATTTCTGAAGTTCTTATTTAAGAATTCTTTATGAAGGCATTATTTCTGGGTGGTAATTGCTCACAAGTACTTGAAAAATGTGAATACATGCTTTTACCACCTGTCTATAGTCCCCGCTGCACAGACACAAGCAATGACATGAGTCACCTCTGGGCTTCTTTATTTTCCTTTGGGTTGAATAATATACATTCAGATTAGCCTACTCCACTGCAACGTACATAAGTTTACCTTTCAAGGTCAAATTTTAAAACAATGCACACTAGATCACATGATCAGGTCATGTGCTAGACACATGCATTTCAGGAACTGGAACATAATACCCAGATCATATGTTTGTATTTTGATGGGTTCCATACCCTGGTTTAAAAAAAGGTAGATCCCAGCTCCAAGTTCTGATTCCTCTCCCACAATGTCCTCAAGTAACTGAGACTACTTTTCTCCTTGTGTGTGTGGATGTGTCTCTTTGCCTCTCAAATAAAAGATACTAATTGATTAACATTTAAAAAATGTATGACGCATCCATGATCCTGAGCCTGGTTTCTCACTTCCAGGTACAGGCAAGTCCATTCCCCTCGGAAAGCTCTTTCATCTCTAGTCAGCCATCTCCGATTAGGAGAACAATTTTTCTTTGAGCTATAATCTGTCTCCCCGTGACCTCTACGCATGTGTTCTGATTTTCCACTATGAGTAACTGAGAGCCAGGCAATCCTTTCTTGAGCTCAGAACCCTCGATGCTGCCTACATCTCTCAGAAAGCTTTCCCTTACCCCAGGCGTCCACTCCCCAGGAAGGTGAGGCCCCACAGGTTCATCTGTTCTTGAGGTTCCCTTGGTCTTATCTATGTCTTCCTGGCTTCAACCTCTGCACTCCGAAGGAAGTGCTCCCCTCTGGCACTCCCCACTTCATCTGCTCTAAAAAGGTGGTATTCACTGCGTTTACTGCTTGAGATGGGAGCCTACAAACTGATATAAGCAAAAGTTCCCTGAGATTTTACTGTCCCTTATCTGCACAGTAAGACTGTATTATAGTTCAGACTCTAATGGAAACTCATATCTTTTATATGGACTGCAGACTCCTCCATTCTGAACTTCTGCAAAGAATGGTTTAATCCTGAATGCAAGACTTCAGGTTTATCTGTGTTAAATTTAATCTCATTGGTCTCCACATTTCAGCCATCTTTCCAGGATGAAAAGATATTTTTGAAACACAAATCTGCTATCAAAACATGCTAACTGTTCCTGCCAGCATTGTTTTCACCTACGAAGTTTTAAAAAGAGCTTGTCAAGAAAGAGAAAAAGAGAAAGGGGAAAATCCTAAATTACTCCTACTAACATGTGAACATGGCATTATTTTCTCCACCAAATTTTCAAGCCATCAACCTGTACTTAACAGTTCTTTTATCTGCTGGTTTGCACAGTGCCGGAGCTTCCTCAGAAGAAAGAAAAGGCCAACAGTGACATTAGTGATTGTTTACTTTGTCCTCAATAATGAAAAAGCTTCTCAGTAATCATTAATAGTACAAAACTCAGAGGCTTAAACATCTGCAATTTGTCCAGTCCCATGCTTTTGGCCAATAATAAAAGGATTTCCTTGTTTCTCATTTTATTTGCATTCACTAAGAAAAGGCCTTGGCGTACAAGGCTCGGTTCTTTATCACAGAAGCACAGCACATCTCAAGTTATTAACTGCATCAGTTTTAAATGGGAAGAGTAGCTGACAAGCACTTATTTGAAACTTAGAACATGCAAGTGTCAGACCCTTGTTTTTTTTTTTTTAAATCTGTTATTTCATGCAAAACTGTTCATTCCCATGCGTATGACATCCAAGAAATTATCTGTCTGATTAATGCTTCACAAAACTAGCCATCAACTGTCATTTTTACAAAAATAAGTCAAATATTTCAGTAATTCCCAATTGACCTCAAAGGCATAGAAATTTCACATAAGAAAGAGAAATTATGTGAGTAATTTTTTTTCCATTTATAACCTAATAAAGATACAGCTGGTTACTGTCAACCTTATGTTATATTTAGAAAAATCACTTAAAGGAAGACTTAAAATAGACATAGGTCCTTCAACATTTTATTTCTCACATGAAAATGTGAAAACATTACATTTGATGAGGTGGAAAACACAGATAAATATGTACACCATTGTAATAAGTAACCTGTTGTCAGGTTTGTGATATTCAAAATAATTCACAATTTGCAACCTTCCATGACAGGGCTCTAGGAAAAACCATTTGTTCTAAAGTTGTGTAAAAATAGTCTGTCTAGGGCTAGAAGTTGGCAATCACTTCTAACGTGGACAGTGCTTTGCTAGGACAAAAACTTCTCAGTTCCTACCACTCCTAAAGATAAAGTCACAGTGAAATATTTAGACTCCTGGTATGGTGTGGTTTTTTTTTTTTTTTCCTAGACATAAAAGAAACTTTCAAGAGAAGGAAGAAAAAAGCTAACCTCTAAATCCTGTATTATTGTCAACGCATTCGTTGATTCATTCCACACCTACACTAAACATACACAAACCAAAGTCGCTATGAGGCGCTTATGCTGTGAGACCTATGATGTTATGTTACTAATTATCTTTTTATTTATATATAGAAAGGTTTCATCCCTAAGAAATCATTCCCAAGATTACACTTACCAAGGTTCGTGCTTTGCACTTCCTGGGGGGGGGGGGCGGCGAGTAAGCATCTTTGTAAGGTAATTATTTTTCTAAGTTCTGCTTTTATGGTCTCATCAGCATAAAGTGCCGCTGTTTAGGGGAGAAGAGACTAGTGTGGACATGAGAGATTCTCCTTGCTTTGGGGGCAGCCCCCGTCTGGCTGTGAAAGCAAGTTTTCCTGGTCTCCTCTCATCACAACTGCAGCACTCATTGCGACAAGGATCCCTGTCCTAGCCCCTGGGCTTCAGCGTCGCTGTGAAATCAACAGGTATCCTGCGGGGATAAACAAGCCCTCTGTGGACCGCAGGCCAGCCCAAGTCAGAAGGGCATTCTCAGAGAGCGCTGTGGAGCCTGGGCTCTGGCGCGCACCCCTCTCTCTCTCTCCGTGAACCCCCAAGCCGCCCAGGGAGCACCCGGTGACCAGCAGGACCGTCCCAGAGGCCGAGCGCTCAGGGGCTTGCATTGCGTCTGCAGGAGCGGCCCCCACACAGTCACCTGGGCACGTGCGTGACACTCACCTGTTCACACTCTCCAGGCCAGCAGAGCCGCGGGCCCCTGCAAGTTCCGACTCAGTCCCCTGACACCGCGACGCCCTCCCGCGCTGCGCAGCCCAGGCTGCGGCTGGCGAGTCGGAGCTGCTGGGCTGCGACCGCGGGGGCCACCGGCGGTACAGCAAGTGCCGCCGCGGGCCGGCCGGGGGTCTCCGCCCTGGCGCTCGCTCCGACTAGCGGCCGAGGGACTGCGGCAGGGCGCGAGCCGAGCCGGGCCGAGGCCGCTGCGCTCCGCCGCCTGGATGCTGCAGTGAGGCGCGCTGGCGCCCCCTACCGGGGCCGGGCCCGAGCTCCTCCAGCGGAGCTGCCGCCCGGGCTCCGGAGCCTGCACGTCCGCCTCCAGCCTGCAGCGCCAGGGACCCGCGGCCCCTGTCTTTGCTGGGCTGCGGGCCGGCTCTCCTGGCTCTCCAAGGAAAGCCTCATCGTGTGGTGTTTGCTCTTCCTTCCTGCAAACGATCCTCACAATATCCCTTGGAAGCAGGCTGAGTTATCCCCATGATGCCCGGGAGAAAAATGAAGGAAAAGGGGAGATAACTAGCCCAAGGCTGGCATGCAATCCAGGCCGGACTGGAAGCGGAGAGCCGCTAGGGAAGAAATACATCCTGGATCAATGGAAATCCACATCTGTATCCTGGTGCCACAAGCTCCAGGTCCTCCACGGAAGAGCAATACTTACAAGCTGGCGTGGGAGTCGCGCCCACCACGCTCAAGGCCTCCAAGGCCTCGTAGAATGCGCTACACCTGCGGCCCGTGGCCTCCTCCCTGAGATGAGCGCCCTCCCTCCAGGCCAGCGCTACTGGCAGGGTTCCTCGCCTCCTAGCCTTTCACAGGTGAGCAGGTGAGCCTCAGAGAGCTTCGATGATGTCCCAAAGTCGAGCCTTACGAGCAAAGGAAGCATTGGCTGTTTTTCTTAATCCTATTCTGGGTGCTGTTATCAAGGGACCAGGCAGTCTCCAGAAAGCCACTGCGCTGTGAGGCAACAGGGGCCTGAGGCTCGGGCCCCAATCTGCAGGATGATGTGGGTGGAAGAGATGTCACCATGGAGGCAGTTCTAGGGCTCCTGCTACCTGGAAAACTACCGCAGCCGGGAATCGGGGGCCCAGCAGAGTAGAGAAGCCGGCACTGTGGTAGGAGGCGGCGCTGCCCGGCTGCACGTGGGCTGTCCCGCTGCGTCCTTGAGAAAACTGGAGCATTGCTAACTGCATTCGTTTCCTGATAAATAATTTATCCCCTCCTCCTACCTCTCCTCAAGCATGGATTCCAGTTCCCCTCTGTGTCCCACAGCACTCTGTGATCTGCTTGTGGTTTGTCCTACATTCAGTTTTTTAAAAAATTATGATTATTTAAAGTGCACATATTTATGGTATACAGCATAATAATTTGGTACTTGGATTCAAGGTATGGTCAAATCATGTTTGTTGGTGTTTCTATCTCCTTTAAATTTTTTGATGAACAATCGTACAGATTTATGGAGTACAATGTGATATTTTAATAAATGTACACAGTGGGCCCTGATCAAATGAGGGTATTTAGCATTTCTATTTTCTCAGGCTGCTTCATTAAGCCTTGAATTTCTAGAAGCCAGGAATGTTTCAGCTGTTCAAGGTACTTCAAAAAATTCATGGCAAAATAGGAGTAAATGATAAGTTTATGTTGGTGCAAAAAAAAAAAAATCCATGTATACGAGGGTTCTTAAAAAAGTGTAGGTATCAATCAACCCTGTCATCTCTGAAACAGGGGAGCGTTGGCTCACACATTCTTGACATGAGGTTCTAAGTCAGATGAGGAGGTGTGTTGGAGCCTGGAACTCATTGTGTTGTATCTCCCACCTGTGTCCTATATTCTGTGGGAGTGCTTGTTTGTGCCATAAGCAGCAAAAAGGGGCCTTTCTCCTTTGTGCCGCCTGCTCTTGGATGGGAAAGAAGGGCAGGGGACACTGCACCTGTGGTTCTATGATCCAGGCCTGCTGGGTAGGAATCCCCCCAGGAGCGGTCGTATCTCGCTGGAGTCACTCTAAGAGCCCAGCTGCTATAAAAACCCCTAATGTGAAAGTAGTAAATGAAGAGTCACTATAACCCCAAAGCACACTAGAAACTGGAACCCTGTGTGTGTAACTGTCAATCATGTTCATTGTTAATAAGTTAAGCAGTAGAAAAAATACAAAGTAAAAAGTCACACTATTCAGAAATAGCCACTGTTGTTGCCAAATGGAACAATCATCAGTACAGGGTATTGTGGAACAGAGACAGTGGTAGAGAGATGGGCTAAGTGACATACAGATATGTTAAGTGTCATCCGACTGTAAATGATATTTTGAATTTTAAAGCACAACAAGAGATAATGAAATTAAAGAATGGCTGAACTTTAGATGTTTATTCATCTGATATTTCATCCTGATTACTCTTCCAAAGTTAAAATCATTACATAAAATCAGATCTGAATTCAGTATGTTTAAACACATATTTGTTTTCTTCAATATCAGTTGACTTCTTGCTATTTAAAAAAAGAGAAATTAGGTCTATTATGAGAGTACTTCAGAAAGTTTATGCATAGTTTTTTTATGGTACCTGGTTCCATGAAATTTTTGAAGACCCCTCAATACTTTACTTTATTTGAAAAGCTGAAAGACATATACATGCACACACAGAGGGAGGCAGGCTGGGGGAAGAGAGAGAGAAACTGCCCCACAAATGCCAACAACAGCCAGTGATGCACCAAGCTGACGCTGGGCAGTCAGAATTCAAGGCCGATCTCCCATATGGGCGACAGGGACCCAAGTACTTGAGCCATCACCCGACGTCATGCAGGGTGCTCACAAGTCAGAATCAGAAGTAGAGCTGGAACTCTAACCCAGGCCTTCTGATATGGGATGCAGGCATCCCGAGTGACATCTTACCTATTGTGCCAAATGCTGGCTTTCAACATTTGTTTTTTCACCAAAATAAACTTATCTTTTAATTCAATTTTCCATTTTACTTCAATTTTACAATGAATATGAGTAGCAGTTCACACACAGTTTTTGAAGTACACTCATATTCTGCCTCTCTCATTTCTTTCTGTTCACCTGTTTTTTTTTTTGTTTGTTTGTTTGTTTTTTTACGTGGGAGCTATTTGTTGTTAAGATTTATAACATTTAAATTTCATTTGTAACTCTAATTCCCAGAGAGGTTTGGATTTTGTTCTATATTTAAGTGGAATAATTCATTTAATTAATTCTTTTACCATGGTGTTCTTATTATTGGCTCTTTATTTTGATACACCCCTTGATTTCTTTGTTATGTAGTGGTTTTCAAGGTCTTGCAGGTGCTGCATTGTGTGATTGAAAATACTTGTCTCTTCCTTTCTTTGTTGTTTTTAATTCATCAGCCTAAGTGACCCAGTCCTCTTTTTCCCCACATAGTATATTATCATATTTATTTAATTATTTCTTTTTAAAAATCACAAATCATATTTGCTATACACATATTAAAAGAACTCTACTTGACTTCCTTCCCATCCTATCTAAGATCTATTCTTTTTGTGTGTGCAGTAATGGCTTGAAAGTAAGCAATGCATTTTGCCTACCATCCTGAGATGAGAAGATAAAGAAGGGAGGTCATCTGAGTCTGTGCAGTCTCTGTTAGAGCTTGGTTGCTCTGCTTTTGTTCAGAGGTTTTACTCAAGTCCCTCACCCAGGGTTTAGTGCAGGCAGGCAGGATCAGTTACTGCTTCAAAGAAGATCCCCTAAGATTTGAGATTGCTTCCCCTATTCATTCTTGGAGCCCTCTCCTCTTTCTCTCCCCTAAGCCATTTCCACTACACCTACTCACGCTGTCCCCTCCTCCCAGCAGAAAAGGGTAAGGATAATTGCTCAGCTCATTTTACTCCAACACTAAAGATTTTCTTAATTGGTGAGAAAGAACTCCAGGATCTGATGTCTCATCTGTTTGTGGAAAGTCAGGACTATCTATACCACAGCCTTTTATTTCCTTAAAAGATTCATTCCAAAGTTTCATGCTAAGGAACTGTACCCCCTTCCTTACTTTCTGGCTGTCAATGAATATCTTTTTCCTTTGGGGTGGCTATGTTACTATTTTTATTATTTATTTAGTTTGCAATTAGACAAAGGTAAATCTTTAGTTAGGTATGACAGAACTTGCCTGGTTACTGGGAATATAAAAGCTAACCAGAATATAAAAAAGAGCTGTTGGAAAGTATTGGATAACAACCAAGAGCTGAAAACCCCAAACCAGGTAATATCCTGGAAGCTCTGTCCCACATGCACTTGAATTTTCTCCTTTGCGGCACTGTATGGGTCCTCATCCATGAAAATGGAGCACAAACAACAGTAGGAGATTTGAGGTCAGGGCTACTAAGGCAACTGGGTCTGGAAGGTCAAATTATCATCAAGGATAGCCACAGATAGAGAACTGTAGATACTTGCATAGAAATGCCCATGGTATTGATTCTTGGGCTGCACGTTGTGTGGTGAGTCTTTTGGGAACCTGGCCAAAGAGCAGCTGCCTATAGTATGAAACTTGGGTGGATTTTCTAGAGATCTTAGAGGACTGGGGAGACATTGAGTTGGAGCAGAGAAAGAGTTCAGAGAATTCTGACATCCCAGAAAAACAACATTCCAAGAGTGAGGGCCATGCCCTAGAAATAAGGACAATAACTTAAGAATGAGAGTGAATCTGAACCACAACTCCTCACCCACAACCAAGGCTAGAATGAGAACTTGACAGGAACCATCTAATCCACTAGTACAGTCACTGCCTGCCAAAGCAAAATTCAACACTCTTGAAAAGAGTAAAGTGATACAGAGCCTCCTTTGCTCTCATCAATGATGTCAGGTGTACTTGCAATGGGCTGCTCAGGCTGCCAGGGCAAAGCACCGTGAATGGAAGCTTGAACAACAGAAATTTCTTTCTCACTGCTTAGAGGCTCAGAAACTCAATATGAAGATGCTGAGAAAGTAGGTTTCATCGGAGTCCTCTTCTCTTGGACTGTGGTGGTTCCCATTGCACTATGTGCTTTCATTACCTCATTTTTCGTGAGCGCATGGAAAGGAGAAAGCAAGCTTTCTGATGTCTTTCCTACTAGGGACTCTGATCCTATGGACTGAGTACTATCCCTGTGATTTTGATGAATGTGAATTACTTCTGAACAGGCCTTATCTTCAAATTACAGTCACATTGGGGATGATGGCTTCAACACACAGATTTTGGAGACACACAAACAATTAGAACATAACCCACA